CGGGAGAGATGTATTCTAGCCTAGTCCCCATTTGACTTGCTAGGTGAGCATGGATTAATTTGTACCTGGGTTTCCCTTCCAGCCCATATGTCTATTTAGGGTGTAAGCTCTTTGGGGCTGTTACGGTCTCTGACCGTGTGCGTGTACAGCATCTAGTACTATGGGACCCTGAGCTTGGTTGAGGCCTCTCGTTGCTATTGTAATACAACCTGACGCTCTTGGTTCTGCATATAAAGGTCATAGGGAGATAGACTCATCACTCTGATGTGGAAGGAGCACCAGGAGGCGGAGCACCAAGGCAGCCACTAGAGAGAGACATGTCCTCCAACTCTGTCAAATCTTGGCATGCAGTGTGTTCTCTCTGCTCCTCCAAGCGACTGTCACCCTGACGTTTCACTTCTCTACAGTCGCACTATTCCTACACTGAGCACAAAGGCCTTTGTGGGACTAGAACCCACTAGTCCCTATCTCCCTATTCAGAAAACTGACTCAGACCTACCTGACCCCTGTGGCTGAACCATGAGTCATTGGCTGAACCATGCCATTTGTTCACCTCCAGTTCTTGCCTCACTGCAGATGTCCCTAATGGTGATACAATTATCCAGCGGTAGTATTAGTATTAGTATTTCCAACAGAGGGGAGTTCCGGGGGTTGGCTGTGTGCAATGTAAGTATCCCGGTGATAGATAGGTAGAGAAATATGTCCTTAGCATTACATTTTGTAACTCTACTGACCATTAATTTCATAGAATGGTCCCTTTGTTCTCTTATGATGAGACAGCATAAAAATAGCAGCAGGAGGACATGCACAGAATAATAATCCCAAATCCCCAGCGCAGCAGATAGGGGTAGGCGTTTCAGTCAATTACACTTCATGCGGTTCCCGCAACGAGAGAATTTTCTCTTTTCCAATGAATTTCTTTGGTGGGTTAGCACATTATGTTCCTTGAGCCCAAATGGCTCATTCATCCAAGCAGCTAATGTTCTGGAAGGGAAATTTTATTGGTCTTCATTAACAACTTAATGAATTTCAAAGCATTGTTCCAGTGGTTTGTACAAAAATGACGATTTGGTTTCACAGGGACATTGCGCAAGATGAAAATGTTGCGTTTAATACAATGCTTCTTTATGTGTTAGCAGCAACGGATGAGCTTGTTGATCCGAAGTAATTACCATTTTAAAAAATCAAACATGGCCTTTGCCATTGATGTGGTCTGTACGTGGTTCTTTTGCAAAGCATCGTTCAGCTTGGACAATGCAAATAGATTTGTCATTTTCACTTCAAGGAGCCAATCCCATTGTCCGTACCTCGGTTTACACTGCCAGTGAAGCAAGGTGCTGCTGAGTATGAGTAAGGATGGCAGAATCTGTTCCAAATTTCAGAATCGCACGGGTGGCTTTTGAAAATCAAATGGTGAATGCTGAGTAACATTTTCAAATATATCTACCTAATATAGGAACTTAAATCCCATTGACTTCAATGGACTGTCATATCAAAATACCTTTGAGGATCTGGTCCTAAGTCATGCCTGAAAACGGGGCTCAGACATTTTTGAGAATTGTTAGCAGGTGAGCACTTGAAAATCTGGCCCCATGTTTCTAGTTAGATTCACTTCTCGTCCCCCTCTTCCCTGTCCTTGCCTAGCACTGCTGTGTGGGTTGCAGACGCTGCACGAGCATCGCTAAGTTATCCCCCGAATTCTGTTCCCCTCGAATTATAATATTGTAAAGGGAAAAACCATTTCTACTTACATGGGGTTTATACAACTTTTAATTTTACTGCCCCTTTGCCTAGCTTTAAACATGAGAGGAGCCAGCATGAACTCCATGGAATTAGTCACATGCTTAAAGACAGGCACAGGTCCTTGCTGGGTGTGGACCAGAACAGCCTGCTCCTTTGGAAGGCCGGAAGTCTCTTCCAGTTACAAACAAACTCCATTTTCCCACTCCCTGGGAGTGGCCGGTGGCAACATGCAGGGCTTTTACTAGCTCGCATGTGCTCCCCTGAAACCAGCCAGCAAACTGCGCTCTCACCTCAATTCCCTTCGCCAAACCTGCCTGCACAGCTGCTCTGGCTTTTACCTGTGTTACATCTGACATGCTGTTTTAATAGACAGAAAAAGTGGCTCCTGGTAGAATGGACCAGTCCCCATTTCCTGTCCGCCATGCTTCAAGCAAGGGAGTCGGATGTTCCTAAAAAGCAGATTCTTTGATGGAGAGAGGGCTGTCTAGGGTTAGAGCGGGGGACTGGGAACCTGGACTCTTGGGTTCTTTTTCCTGCTGTTCCGTTGACCCAGCAGGAAACCCGGGGTTAGTTACTTAGATTTCTTATTCCCTCATTTTACCGATCTGTATCCCCGGGATGCCAATGCCAATGAACGCCTCAGGATGTAGGGCAAGCTAACAAAAGCTGGTCTTGTGGCTGGAAATAACATCAGAGTGGCCATACTGGATCAGATCAAAGGTCCATTTAGCCCCATCTCTTGTCTTCAGATACTGGCCAATGCCAGGTGCCCCAGAGGAGGTGAAGAGGACAGGGAACCATCAAATGATTGCCCATTCCCAGCTTCTGACAAACCGAGGCAAGGGACACCACTCCCGCCCATGTTGGCTAATGGCCATTGATGGACCTAACCTCCATAATCTAACTAGCTCTTGTTTGAACCCTTTTATAGTCTTGGCCTTCATGACGCCCTCTGGCAAAGAAGGCAGGACAGAAATGCAAAGCATTCGGAAGGCTGTACTTGCGTGGGATGTTACCAAGTAGATTTCTGGCCCACTTTTGACCTCCCTTAAAATGCTTCCAGTTATATTTCAATTTAAGCTAGTAGCAATTGTTCTCCAGTACCTGAACATTTATTGCAAAAGAAAATCCACACTATTGATGAGACATTAGGAATACCTAGTGGCAACAACTGTTTGGCGATTCTGTAGGACCTACTTTAACATTTTGCGCTCTGTGAGTCCCTTTGCTGGCCGCGAGCCCCGTGTTGTGGACAGGTGCGATGTTGGTGCACAGATAGATGCCTGTGTCTCTTCCGCCCTCCCCCTGCTTTCATGGGAAACAAAGAATCCGTGCTTTCCAGATGGAGAAAGCCAAGCTCCAGGTTTCCCTCCAAGGAGCGGTTAGAAAAAACACAGGGAGAAAAGATCCTGCAAGTTCTGTGTGTGTGAGAGGGAGGGAGGGAGAGACAGAGACGGCCTGACTGTTCATCACTGTGAGATGGTGTCACTATTAATGACTGTGACAGGAAGGGGCGGGGGGGCACAGCTTCTGCAGGCTCCTGGGCAAGGTGGGGTGGCTGCACTGTGCAGCCACAAGGGGCATGGCCTGGGGCAGAAGAGGTGGGGAAGGGGTAGCCAGACTGCAGTGCTTCCCCCCCCGGCCCTCACCATGGAGTGTTCAGCACTGAGTTCCAGTGGTGATTTAAAGGGCCCAGGGCTCTGGCTGTCCCACTGGCTCAGTAGCGACGGCGGCGGCCGGGAGCCCCAGTCCTCTTTGAGTCACCAGGCTCTGGAGCAATTGTCCCTTTGCCCTCCTGCTGGCGAGGTGTCTGTTCTACCAGGGACTCAGACACCCACACACAGGCAGGTGTCCTCTTCACCGGCAGAAAGCCCTGCCCTGGGTTTTGTGGCTCTGCCATTACATCCCGACCACACAAGACTGTCAAAGTGGGCTAAGTAGGCACGTGCTGACAGTAAGATGCCCCAAACGGGCGGGGGATGTCTGTACGGGCGGGAATGTGCGGGCGAGGGATCTCTGTATAGGCAAGAGATGTCTGTGCGGGCAGGGGATGTCTGTGCGGGCGGGGGATGTCTGTACAGGCAGGGAGGTGCAGGCG